AGGCCCGGACCCGGGAGAGGTGGGAGGACTTATTGTCCGACCCCCGGGGTCCCGGGCCAGCGACGGCAGCGGCTGTCCGCCCCTGCCTGTCCGAATTGACAGGCAGGAGGGGACGTGGACTATCCTTCCGTCTGGCGCAGGTGCTGACCGGGCACGGGTGCTTCGGTCGGTATCTGTGCCGGATAAGGAAGGAGCTCACCACTCGATGCCACCACTGCCCCGCGGCGGAGGACACCACACCCTGGTCGCGTGCCCAGCATGGGCCGGGGAGCGCCGTGTCCTCTGCGGGGTGGTGGGATGCCGAGAGGGGGAGCTTTCGCTCCCGCACATGGTCAAAGCCATGTGCGGGAGCGAGGAGGCGTGGACAGCGGCGGTCTCCTTCTGTGAGACAGTAATGTCCCAGAAGGAGACCGCCGAGTGGGGGCGAAGACAGTACCGGGGCTGCGGGGAGCAGCTCCCGGGCGGACAACGCCCCCAGGGGGACGAGGGACGCGACAGCGGGCCCGGGACACCGCCGGCCGAGGGGGGCTCACAGACCCGCGAGGGTAGGGAGTCCCCTCGGCCACCTCGGGCCCGACACCGGTCGCAAGGGGGGAGTAGGGAGGCGGCGAGCCGCCTTCCCTACCTTCCCCCCCCGAGCGACCGGACAATTAGGGACAGGGGGGAGCGATGCCCCGGTTGGGGCCGGGCCCGCTCCCCTACAAATCCTCCCCTCCCTGACTAGCAGGGAGGGGAGGTAAGGAGGGAGGGCGGATGTCCTCTCCCTCCTTGACAGGAGACACCAGAAGGCCAACCGGCGGGGGATAACCCTCGTCGGGGACCGCGCCCTGGATTTCCTTCGTGGAACAGGGCGCGGTACACAGATGGCGAGGGGCTCCCGGAAGGGAGCCCTGGGGCCGGGGGGTTGGGGAGGGAATACGGGAGTAGTTCCCCCGACTCCCCTCCTCGCGGTCCGACAGGTAGACATCCCGCAGGGGTTTTAGTCGGTAAGAGTCCGACATAACCTCCTTCCCCCCCAAGGGAAGGGGGTATCCATGATGGATTTCCCCTGCGTGACCAAAAAAAAAAAAAAAAATGTATATGTATATTATATTCTCAAGGAGAACGGAAAAGTAAAAATAAAGTCAATTTGATATAATTTTTATCAAAAAATGACATAAAACAATAAAACTGACATTATTTTAAACTAACTATTCTCCTTGAGTTAATAGGCATTGATAATAAATGTATTAAACGGTCAAATATAATGATAATTAATTACTATCTTAATGCACCAATCATGCCAATAATAATTAGAATAGTAAAAAAAGCATCAAAATTATGTCATAGTGACATAAATATAACGTCAAGAATACATCAAAATTTTATGCACTTTGACGTCATTTTAATGAACTAAATTTTGACCATATCTTGACATCATTTTGACGTCGTTTTGACTTCTCTGTTCTTCTTGGGATTCATTAGCATTATAAGATTTTAATCTCAAAAAATGCATCAAGTCAGATACATTATTGCAGAAAACTAATGAATCTACCATAGAAAAAAAAGGAATAAATTCTTTTTCACGATGTTTGCAAGAAAACGTTGTTTCTGATTCTAACAAATGCCTTTCTTTCAATCTGGATCCCAGTAACTCTGCACTTTCTTTAGATAGACCTAAATCTTTTACAAAATCATTTAAAGCAGACTGATTGAAAGGCTTTGGATTGAAAGGCTATTGTCATCAACCGGATCGATTTCATAAGTTTCAAAATCTACATTGTTCTCATCAACAGGATTGTCATTGTCTAAAGATGATAAAGAAGGGTGGAGAAGGAATAGGAATATCAGATCCATGAAAAACAGGTCTTGTAGTGCATGAAAGTGTTGTATAAGAGATGTTTTTCTTATTGCGAGCATTATAGCCCGTGATTTGGCATGAACAAAAGTAACAGCTAGTTATATGATCAGTTGGTTCACGCCAAATCATTGGAATACCAAATCGCATGCCACTTCTTTTTCCTTTCAACCAATACCTCAATCCTTAATAGCAAGTTGTACAAATTGTATGAGGAACCCATGGTTTATCAAGATTTTTTATTTCAATATTAAAATATTGAAAATAACATGTTTTGATATTCTGAATTATAGGAACTTTTTGCTTTTGCGGAATGTATTCACCACAGATGTAGCAAAATTTATCAAGATTATTTTTACATTTTCGCGAAGCCATTTCATTAAAAAAAATGTATGTATTAAAGAAAACAAATGAAATATGTAAATACTCTACATACTTTAAATTATATGTTGTAATAAGGAGGAACAGGATATATGAAGTTATTATTGCAGCATAGTGTTACAAACGTAATACTGCATTAATTTCACGTCAGCTCTGTGAAGTTCCTACTTTTATCAATGAAATAGCATTAATTACGCAAGTAGTTCAGAATAATCAAGAGCCTTGTCATAATTTCCTAAAAAATTTTCATCATGTTAACAATGATGTTTTTAATTGGTATATAATATTATAAAAATAACTTCCAAAGAATTCTATCTTTTTATTTTCATCTTTTTCTTACTGTGTACACTCGCGAGCATAAAGGTTTGTGACCGTTTTTTTGCAACTTTCGGAACGCATCCCGACTCGAGAAGAATGAGAGTCACTGCTCCGCCTGTGGAGCACGTCTGCGCAGTGACTCACGACGAAAGGCGAGAAATGAAATATACGCGGTGGGACATATTATAATAATACAGACTCAGATGAAATGAATACTCCAGTATGGAAATGAGGGAACACAGAACAGACAAGAATCATTCGATGTAAGTCTTATACTCCGGAGGACATCCGAAAAAGGTAAAATACGAACTTAATTAAGAGAATTAGGCTGCATTACGATAGTTACGATTCTGTTATACATTTATATATGATTTATTGTTCCAACAACAGCCATCTTCTATAGCAGAAGCAATGATATTAGATACAGAAGCAGCTGTTATAGCGAATTTTGAATTTTTGGGACATACAGACATGGACATGGAAGAGGAAGAAGGAGATGGAGACGATGAAATTTATGATGCAAATACAGGTACCAAACCAAATAAAGTAACGCTTACTATCATCTTGCGTTTTAATGATATTGTTCACGCTATTTATTAACATAATTTCTTATTTGTCAGGCATCTATTCCCCTTTTAGCGGAAGATGTAGATACAGATACAGAGGCAGAAGTATTAAATGAATTAAATCTCCTCACAGAAATTGAAGAATCGCCACCTGGTTCTATCCATCTGGAAATGAATTCTTCAAAGGGGTTAGTAAATCCCTTTTTATTCGTGTACTTTAAGATAAAATATAAACTCAGACAGCACCCAGACAGTAATGTCCAAAACTGGGACATAAGACGTCTTTAAGGCATCTTTAAGTCGTCTTTAAGATGTCTGAAAATAAGACATCTTTAAATCGTCTTAAAGACGTCTTAGCCAGTGGCACACGGTGTTTGTTTTCGTGCTGGATTGCTTGCTGGATGAAAATACTGTGTTCTGATTGGTGCATTTCCATCCATCTTCGGAAATGTACCAATCAGAACGCAGTATTTTCATCTAGCAAACAATCCAGCACGAAAACAAGCACCGTGTGCCGCTGGCTTTAAAGACGTCTTATGTCCTAGTTTTGGACATTGTGCTGTCTGGGAACCTATTACAATAATAGATATTTTGTAATATTGTCACATATAATCACATAATCTAATGATGCCTGTAGGTTTATTACATAGAAGATTACAACAAGATCCAAGACGCCCAAATAATAAAGAAGGCGGTGACTCCACGCTGGAATTAGGAGAATTAGAACAATTATGTGTTAACAATGATGCAGAAATATCGTACGATGTAAGTTCCAAGAATTTTCCCCTGTATTTCAGTCGAGTCGCTTTTTCAGCTATGTAAGAGTTACAGTTTGTTGACACTCTTAACGTATTATTTTTTGCGACACAGATGGTTTCCACCATGAAGGAAACCTTCAGAAAAATATGGAACGCTAAATATACGTTACGTTCGCATTTTGACGTTGTTAGAGCATTTGTCTTCCACCCCGCAGATCCGGTTCTTATTACCGCAAGCGATGATCACACACTGAAGTGGAATCTTCATAAGACTGTACCGGCAAAAAAGTAAATCCAATATTGATTAATGCTGTGAAAATATATAAAATATGAACCGCAACATTTCATTTCAAAGATACTGTATATCATAATTTTGTTTTAATATTCTTTCAGGTCAGCTTCGTTAGATGTAGAACCACTTTACACATTCAGATCATACACTGGACTTGTGTTGTGTCTAGCCATGTGTAGTATAGGCAATCGATGTTACAGCAGTGGTTTAGATGGCATGATCCATTGTTGGACATTACCATCGGCTAACATTGATCCATACGACTCGTATGAACTAAATGTTCTTAGTCATACATTAACGGTACACAAATGCTGTCTGGGGCTTGAGCATGTTTTATGTATTGTAATTTTATGTAATATATGAACATACATTTTTCGGTTGATCCATTATTTATGAAATTTGGTATACAATAGTTTTTTGGGTCGCTGATCATGAATCCGAAGTCAGAAAGAGTTTTTCTGCTCTTTGTTTATTTATAAAACTTGCAATTAATAATAAGTCCTAAACTATTTTTTATATTATTCTATCCCTAAGATAGCGGTAAAATACAAAACAACCAGTCTAAATGTATTAGTTGGATAATAAACTGCCAAATAGTAAAGAAGAACGTATAATTAATATAGTAAAACTTCCTTAACCCTTTGATGCATGGTAGTAACCTACGTTACCACCATGCATCAAAGGGTTAACGAAGTTTTACTATATTAATTATATGTGATCAAATAATGTCACTGATACTTACGAACAGTTGTTAACGATAAATTCTTGAAAGAAAGAAAAAAGAAAAAGGATATAGTTTTGATTGAAATTTATGGATTGTATTTATGTAGTTAAAAAATAAGCAAATATATTGTTCATTATTATACTTTATTAAATTATATTAACAATATATGTAACAGCATCTAGAAGTTATATGATTCTTATTGAAATATATTATTTTTATATAATAGGTAAAAGAAAAATCATATTACATAAAATATATTGAAAAAATATATTCCATGATGTACTGGTCATCCAGAAATCTCAGGATATTCTCACTCAAGTGTACACGACAGGGTTTTCCAGTTTCCCGCTCTCAAGTTTATTCGCCAATGTCACATCGTTCAACCAGATATTGAACTTGAATCATTTCGTACCCACGATCCCGCAGAACACGGTGCCCGTGTGCACACCTATTCTCATTCACACCTTCCCTTCTTTCGATGTCGAATTGTTTGATCGCTTCGATCATAGCTGTTAAGATGAGAAACGCACAGCATTAATTTAGCACCAGATTTGAAGATATCTGCCAACCACGTGTCAATAACATTCCACTTACCTAGACCCATTTTTATGCAGCACTTTCTGTGATCGGACCACGGCTTGGGACATCCGCTTACGCAATAGTAGCAGTCGTCCAATGTAGATATCATCTCACATCCATGATGCTCGCAGAGATTATCGAAATGTTCGAAGAGATCAAACTGTATTCATTCAAACTGTAACTCTTACATAGCTGAAAAAACGACTCGACTGAAATACAGGGGAAAATTCTTGGAACTTACATCGTACGATATTTCTGCATCATTGTTAACACATAATTATTTTAATTCTCTTAATTTCAGCGTGGAGTCATCGCCTTCTTTATTATTTGGGCGTCTTGGATCTTGTTGTAATCTTCTATGTAATAAACCTACAGGCATCATTAGATTATGTGATTATATGTGACAATATTACAAAATATCTATTATTGTAATAGGTTTATATTTTATCTTAAAGTACACGAATAAAAAGGGATTTACTAACCCCTTTGAAGAATTCATTTTCAGATGGATAGAACCAGGTGGCGATTCTTCAATTTCTGTGAGGAGATTTAATTCATTTAATACTTCTGCCTCTGTATCTGTATCTACATCTTCCGCTAAAAGGGGAATAGATGCCTGACAAATAAGAAATTATGTTAATAAATAGCGTGAACAATATCATTAAAACGCAAGATGATAGTAAGCGTTACTTTATTTGGTTTGGTACCTGTATTTGCATCATAAATTTCATCGTCTCCATCTCCTTCTTCCTCTTCCATGTCCATGTCTGTATGTCCCAAAAATTCAAAATTCGCTATAACAGCTGCTTCTGTATCTAATATCATTGCTTCTGCTATAGAAGATGGCTGTTGTTGGAACAATAAATCATATATAAATATATAACAGAATCGTAACTATCGTAATGCAGCCTAATTCTCTTAATTAAGTTCGTATTTTACCTTTTTCGGATGTCCTCCGGAGTATAAGACTTACATCGGATGATTCTTGTCTGTTCTGTGTTCCCTCATTTCCATACTGGAGTATTCATTTCATCTGAGTCTGTATTATTATAATATGTCCCACCGCGTATATTTCATTTCTCGCCTTTCGTCGTGAGTCACTGCGCAAACGTGCTCCACAGGCGGAGCAGTGACTCTCATTCTTCTCGAGTCGGGATGCGTTCCGAAAGTTCCAAAAAAACGGTCACAAACCTTTATGCTCGCGAGTGTACAATAAAGTATTATATTTTCTTTCATTTTGTCTTAATTTTTTTAATTTTTAAGTTATAATTATCTCGAAAACCTGACGTGATAGAGAAATTCTAAGGCCGGATTCGTATTCAGCGGACAAAATTACGTAGGAAATAACCTTTGACATCCAAAACATAAAATCATACAGACCTGTGTAATCGGTTGAATATTGTGAAAAACAGCATTTTTTAGCTATTTTAACCTAAATATCTCGAAAACCTGACGTGATAGAGAAATTCTAAGAAATTCATTTTCAGCGGCCAAAATTACGTAAGGAATGACCATTGAAATTCAAAACGCAAAATCATGCAGACCTGTGTTATCTACCCGTTTGCGCTAAGCAAGGTTTTCTATTAGTGTTGCCATTTTCAGGCCGCCGATCCGTGAACCAATTACGCCGAAGCTCTAATGTCCAGACTCTCTATTGTAGGGTCTCTAGGCTCGGCTAAAAGCAGTCCATTGCATCTCTCCTTTTTCTCTCTGGCGCGTTCAGCGGAGAAAACCGCTCAGTGACCGATTAGTGACTATTGGTCCTTACTGTTAGATCCTTACATTCAGACCAATAACGTTGACGAATTACTTATCAGTTGCACAACTGTTGAGTGTCGTGAACGCACCCATAATCTTCATGTCGCTGCATATGACAGATTTCCTAACCTCAGAACCATCACTTTTTAACACTTAAGACAGGTTGTTCCAACTCCTTGGTAAGTTAACTAATAATTAAATCATATATCTGTCTTTGTTTAAATTGAAGGAAAAATAAAGATAAACATATAATTTAACTATCAGTTAACTTACAAAGAAATTGGAACAACCAGCCCTTAATAACTTTTCTTTCACTTAAAAGCGACACTTTTTACTTTCAGATTTGTTTTACAGATTAAAGTACATAATATTGCAAAGTTTCATGCAAATTAAAGGGGGAGCCCATTTTCTGCATATTTACACTTTTTCTTCCAAAATTGCGTTCTACACACTAAAATATACAATTATGCAAAGTTCCAGTGAAATCAGTGAGGAGGCCCATATGCTTCAAAATTACCCTTTTTTCTTTCAAATTCGCATTCTGCAAAATACATAATTGTAGAAAGTTTCAGCGAAATTGGCGAGGAGGCCTGTATTCTTCACAATTACAGACATTTTTTTTCAATATATAACTAACATGTAAATAAATGTTTGATGTCTTTATTATTTGGAAAATGTAATGTAGTAGACAGGTGTTCTAGGTTAACATACCGACATGATAAATCTTGAACTTTTTTACTGAAAAATAAAATGTAAAAATTGTTCTTAAAGGAAAATCAAAACATCCCACCAACTGATAAATATATTGAGTTGTATCTGCATCTATTGTAAAAATATAGAAAATTACATCAATCATTATTCATTATCTTTATTATATGTTTAATTATCATGAGTACTCATATGATAATTCTTTCTATATCCACGGATGATACCTGAGATTTATTTATTATTCCAAATCTTTTTCCCATATATTCGTTTATTTTCAATATATGTAATCATACCCTTTCTCAATGATCACCTACTGCAAAATAACAATTTTCCTCTACCTCAGTACGCATCATTTTGATAATCTCTTCTTCTTTCCTCTTTTTCATCTTTTTTGATCTGACTAAGCATTGCACTTTGGCAGAAAAGTCAGGTACAACCTTCTCAAACATCAGACGGTCACCAAATGCCAACAGTAATTTCTTGTCATCAGTCAAATGACCAGCTACAATAGGGATTTGTTCATTGATGTTTTCCTGAATAATGTTAGAAGTAACGGTGATACTGAGAGATGGTTTCAATGGTTTTGTACGACCATTCGGTTGATATTTAAACAGTTGTGCTTGACCCAATTTTGTAGTAGCTAACACAAAGATTTGCAACTGTTCTACAACGAGCGTTGATACAAATACAGCCTCATCATGCAAGAGCAACGTTGCTATCGATACCTTATCATTTTTATGCTAAACAGATATAAAACAAAATTTCAGAAATGTAAAATTTAGTTTTTACTATTTGAAATATTTGATTAATTAGCTGCAAAAACTGAAAAACTATAATAATATAAATTGTACCTGATCCATTGCCCATACAGAAAGATAGTTGTCTGAACGGCTACTACTAATCAGATAGCTAGTTGTATCATCTATTTTAACTGGATGAAGAGAAGTGACTTGGTCAATGTGTCCAGTGAAAGTACGAATCAACTGTTTTGTCGTTAAATCCCACCATTTAATCGTTCTTTCTGCAGCCAACAGAGATTTCCCATCTACTGGGACTGCCAGAGCTGTGACTTTCATTTTGCCTGATTTCCACTTGCACTTGATTCTACTATCTTGAATATTCCACTCCATCAGATGATAATCGTCTGAAGCTGTGATCAAACCACTCGCAGCTGACCATGTTATTGCCGTACATGCTGCAGCATTGTCATTTTTCAATATGGTGACTAATGTTGATGATACATTAAACAATGCAACATTTCCATCTGACAATCCTATGGCCACTATCTTGTGATCAATATCCTCTGAAATTGACTTTCTCTTGCGTTTCTTCCATTGCGATGGCTTAAGAATAAAGAACATTTTTTATCATTACAATACATTCATGAAAATAAATTTCTAAAATGCCATTCAACGAAAACTCAAGAACGGTAGAATATTAAACCAATTTAAATAAATCATAGCTGCATGATGCATGTACTTCACAGGCTTGAGATATACGAATAACAAAAGCATGCACTCTTATAAGAAATTTTTTGGGAATTTAATGATGAATGACACGGGAAATAATAAAAGAAAAAACGAGGAAAAGTTGATATCAGTCGCAGCAACAGTTATCGACGCGGCAATAGGAATATACAATGCTAACATAACCTACAAACATATTGTTCGCCGATTGTAGATTCACGGAGATCCATTGTATAACACTACACGGCGATGAAAGATGTCGATTAGGAATATATTCACATTTCGGCCGGCTATTTGCGGTTTCCCAAATCTGCAATTTGCCATTAAAACCACAAAAAGCGTAATATTGACCATCCTGAGAAAACGCATAACTACCTCCGTTCGCCATTTCATCCGCAGATTTCAGTTCAGTTCAGTTCTTCTTCTTCTTCTTCAATAGATGGCTCTATGCATACAATAGATGCTCCAACGCCACTCACATTCAGTTCAGTTCAATATGTGGCTCCGGATAAATTGGGGTACGTCCACACGCTATTCTTCAGATCAGTTCAATATACAGGCTTTATATAACTTGGCCAGTGACTTTGAGAAATCTAGCTATCTCTGCAAATATAGAGATATTGTCGATATAAAGGCCCATCTACAATGGCTGCAAGAATAAGGTTGTAAGCATAAGCAATAAGAAATGGACCAACTATAATCGATTATTCTTATAATATTCGATTGTGGTTTGTCTATTTCTTACTGCATACGCTTAGAACCTTATTCTTGCAGCCATTGTAGATAGCCCTTAAAAGGCGGCTTCATGTAAAGCCAGCGGCACACGGTGCTTGTTTTCGTGCTAGATTGCTTGCTGGATGAAAATACTGCGTTCTGATTGGTGCATTTCCATTCATCTTCGGAAATGTACCAATCAGAACGCAGTATTTTCATCCAGCAAGCAATCCAGCACAAAAACAAGCATCGTGTGCCGCTGGCTTTAGTTGCTTGTGGCAAAAGAACAATCCAAATAAAATAGGCGCAGGAGTAGCAAATCTGATTCTTCACTGTATCTGGGGAATCTAAAAAGGATGTGCTCCAAACTCCTGTGTTGCCATCCACATGGGCAAGACTCGTCGTTTACGATATTTTTACTGAATAGGTGATCACCAGTGAAAATGTGGAACAATCTGAGTCTGGCTATTAAGGCTCGTCTACATTAGCTATAAAGGCCCATTTACAATGGTTGCAAGAATAAGGTTTTAAACGTAAGCAGTAAAGCTAAAGCTAAGACTCCATGCATGCGGTGAGCTCCGGCAAACGGCTGCGGTGACCAATCAGGAGACAGACGCATGCCGGAGCTTGCCGCAACCGGACTTGCGCCTCCCTCCTGATTGGTCACCGCAACCGTTTGCCGCAGCTCACCGCATGCATGGAGTCTTAGCTTAAGAAATAGACCAACCACAATCGATTATTATAAGAATAATCGATTATGGTTGGTTCGATTATGGACAGCTTATGTTACAGCCTTACAGCCTTAGGGCAAGAGCATAGGCTTTTGCATAACATATAATACATAACGCATAAAAAAATAAACCAATTAGTTTTCTTCATTTTCCTCCTCAGAATAGAAATGAAGAACTTTGATTGGTTGATTCTCTTATGTTTTGTGTATTATGCTTTATGCAGAAGTCTGTGCTCTGGCCCTTAAGGCTCGTCTACATTAGATGTAAGAGTAATACCTCGTCTACAATAGAAGTCGTAGAGTCGTAAGTCGTAGAAATTGACCAATCATCCGGTAAGAGAAAAATAATCGACCGCGATTGGTCAATTTGTACGACTTACGATTCTATGACTTCTATTGTAGACGAAGTATAAGGCTGTAAGGTTGCAAGACACGAAATGAAATATTTTCATTAGCTGACAGCTTACGTTACAGCCTTACAGCCTCATTCTTAAAGTTATTGTAGACGAGCCTTAACTCTTACAGCTATTGTAGACGAGCCTTTAGGGTAAGAGTGTCCTATCCGTGTTCTGTAAGCCTTGAACCAGGGACTCCGAAGGATATGTTAAGCCAGCGGCACACGGTGCTTGTTTTCGTGCTGGATTGTTTGCTGGATGAAAATACTGCATTCTGATTGATACATTTCCGAAGATGGATGGAAATGCACCAATCAGAACGCAGTATTTTCATCCAGCAAGCAATCTAGTACGAAAACAAGCACCGTGTGCCGCTGGCTTAAGGAGTGGCCGCGTTCAGTAGAACTGTGATCAGAGAGCGCTTAGTGATTATTGTCTGTGATTGGAGCATTCTTTTAGATTCTTCATAGACCCAGAAGTATTTACCAATCAGGAGCGAGATTCAGTGGAAAATCTAGTAATGTTGTCCAACTGTTGAGTCTGCTGAATGCAGCCAGTGTTTCTTGTATCTAGTTCCTTTATGTAGGAATTCTTGCTCTAATTTCTGAGTTGCGTCGTTGAGGTAAAGCTAAGACTCCATGCATGCGGTGAGCTGCGGCAAATGCTGCGATGACCAATCAGGAGGGAGGCGCAAGTCCGGTTGCGGCAAGCTCCGGCATGCGTCTGTCTCCTGATTGGTCACCGCAGCCGTTTGCCGGAGCTCACCGTATGCATGGAGTCTTAGCTTAATAGTCGTGATGGTCAAGAATGGCATCTTCATGAAACCTGGAGCAATAATCGTTGGACGGCGGTTCCGTACAGATAGTTCCTAGTTGGGAAGACTATCGGCGAGGTCATTGCCGGGAATGCCTTTGTGATCCTGAATTCAGATGAGAATGATATCAAAACCATTCGCTGTAGCAATGGAAATTTTCTTCTTGATATTAAAAATGAGGTTAGAACAGATTTCTTCGGGGTCTTCTTTATTGATCAGACTTAGTATATTATAAGAGTCTGTGAAAATGCCTACTCTCTTCTCATTCCGATTCAAGGTTAGATCTAAAGCACGTAGAATGGCCATCGCCTCAACAAGGAAAATGTTATGTGACTTGTGAACAGGGATAGCCTCTCTGACTTCAAGATCAGGGTAAAGACCTCGAACCCAGCGCTACCATCACTCAGAATCGAACCATCCGAATAAAACTCCCCTTCAAGATTGAGGTTTTTAATAGCGGAGTATGCTAACCGAAGAACGTCTTCCGTAGACAATTTTTTACGACTCTTGTACCAGAAGTTACCTTTTTTGATTTTATAATCTTTGATGTTGTCAAAAAGGTCAAGTACGACGTTAATTTTAGTAAAACATAGAAAGTAGTCAAACATAAAGGCTGGGAGGTTAGAAGGAATACCAAGTGCTGAGAGAATGTCCCTATTTTTAATAAAAAAAAAATTGAGAGAGCAGTCGTTACCTAAAGCCAGCGGAACACGGTACTTGTTTTCGTGCTTGCTGAATGAAAATATTGCGTTCTGATTGGTACATTTCCGAAGATAGATGGAAATGCATCAATTAGAATGCAGTATTTTCATCCAGCAAGCAATCCAGCACGAAATCAAGCACCGTGTGCCGCTGGCTTAATTCGTTACTGACACGAGTAGATCTCTCCTCTATGATGCTTTTCAGTGGGTTATTGCCGATCTTAAGACAGTTGATAAAAGTTTTTGATTCTAAAAATTTCCATCTGTAAACCAGAGGCCATTCCGCAACCTGGTCCAGAAGTATATTAGTGGGAGTGGAAGGCATAAGACCAGGAATAATCCTGGCGCATTTATATTGTACGCGGTCTAGAGAAATACGTTTAAGTTTGGAGGTGTCGGTGAGGACGATACTTCCCCAATCTAGTAAGGATCTGACTAAACCTTTGTACACCATGATAAGAGTAGAAGGGTAGGCTTCCCATCCGATTCCAGCAAAAGATTTCAGTAGATTAATCCTGAATAGGCATGCTAATTTAAGCTTTTTGTGTAAGCTTGATGTGTAAACTTCAGTTAAGATTTGTGTCAAAGGTATACTCCAAAAACACAGCGTGCGGGGAAAAAGGTTTGACAGAGTCATCTAATTTAATATGAAGGTTAAATTTGTTAATTTTATTTTGCAAAGTGGAGAATCTATTTTTTGCATCGAATACGCACCACTTGGTTTTAGAAGGAGAGATTTTAAGACCTAACTTATTCAAATTATCTTTAAGAGAAATAAAATTTGCATTAAGTGATTGTGATAATTTAGATAAGTTTTTATCACAAGTAAAAATGATTATATTGTCCGTAAGCTAAGATGTGCGTGTTCTTGTTAAGATTAAGATATATTTTAGAAATGTAGATATCGAATAACAAGGGGCTCAAAACAGAGCCCTACGAGATACCTTTCGAACCCTTCCTCGTGCCCAAAGATCGGCCGTTGTAGTAGCCTGTAACTGTTCTTTTTAGAAGAATAAAAGATATAAACTGAATAATTTTGCGAGGAACACCTAGACCTATAGTCATGCTGATTAATTTAAAAGGGTTAACATTGTCGAAAGTGCCTTCAATGTTAATGAAGATAGCTCCCACTTTTAAGCCCAATTTGAAAGCATCCTTAATAAAGTATTTAAGCTTTAAGATACTATTAGCACATGATCTCCCACGACGAAAACCATTTTGATATGTCGGTAAGGTATTTAGAGATTCAAGCCACTACTCAAGCCTGCCTTTAATGATTTTTTCCAGCAGTTTAAATAAGGTATTAACCACAGAGATTAGTCGGAGTTTATCAGAGTTTTGTTTGGGTATAAAGACCATAAAATACTTATTCCAGGCGTCTGGAAACTTTCCATGACGTAATAGCGAATTAAAAATGATTCTAATGATATGGAAAACATTGGGAGGGAGATGTGAAAGGATGTTATAGGTAATAACCGGACCTGGGGCGGTTTTTTTCTTCAGTATCTTGAGTAATGTGAGTTCGAATTTTTCAGGAGAAATATCTTCCTGAAAGACCTTTATCTTTGACCTTGCTGAATTAATATTAGAAGAATTGTTAGGGACGTCTGAATTAGGGTTGTTTTCTAAGAACGATAGAGACACATTACAATTAGATTGTTCGTCAACCGTATTACGGAAAGCGTTCTCCGCGATAGTTAGCTTCTCTTGAGAAAATCCAGAGAAGGCCTTTACAACCGACTTTTTGTTTTTGAAAGCGGCAATCGTATTCCATGTCTTTTTGACATCCGAGTCTTTGTTTAAGAATTCGCAGAAGGCTTGATATTTAGATTTTTTAATTTTACGAAGTTGCTTATGAACGTTTTTACATATTTGATTATAAGATTCTAAACTTTGTAAAGATGGATTTCTTTTCTAAGCATGGAAAGCCTCAATCTTACTCTGAGAAATTTGCTTACATTCCGAATCCCACCAACGGGAAGGGGGCCTTCTAAAAGGAGCTCTATTGGTATCGATAAAAGCACCAGAATCCAGAAGAGCAGTTTCAATATGAGTGGTTAGATCGTTATATTTCTGCACTGGGTCCGAAGAATTTGTCTAAGAGGAGACTTCTTCGGGTGTAAAAGGAAGGTGAGCACTAAGAGCAGAATGAAAAGAATTCCAATTAATTTTGG